CATTTTCTTGACTATTTGTCTAGATATGGGATTACTTCACAAACACCTTGGACATTTTAGGTTAGGTAAATCTGTGTTTTCTACTCTTTCTCCTAACACATGTGGCAGGGCATGTTAATGTCCGTTCTGTGACCTTTGGGGTGATGGGGGCAGGAAAGATCGATGTCTAGCAATTTAAGATGTATATTGAATTCAGATTTTTGCAACATCTGTTGTCCAGGTGGAATATCTGATTTAAATTTCTGGACTTCCCAACTCCAGAATAGCTTAGCACCTTGAGTAGTAAATGAACAGTGCTTCGTATCTTTGCCTTCAGTTTGGCAGGTGATGAGGCCTAGAACTTTATCTCATATTCCAAATTTAGTTACAAAGAAGCAGGATATTGTCTGGTGGTGTTGTGTCTCTTTGTCAGTTACTTGTTTGGAGCTGTTGGACTCTGTAAAATTAATTGATTGCATTACTTGCATTACACATTTGAACCAGGCTCTGCTACTTTCTAGAGAGATGTCTCAACTGTGTGAAACTTGCTATTTTGAGACAAGAATCTTTTTCTTCTTAGTTGCACTGTGCTCAGTACTTTGTCACCAGTGAGGCAGTAAAACTCTAGTCAGTTCTTTCTTCCCAAATAAACTATTCCTTCATTTTCCATTTTCTCAGCTAGTTGAAGCCACCTAGAAGCTATTCATGCATGATTTGAAGAGAATGGAAAGGGCAGCTGCTACATATCACTGGTATGAGGACAAGTGTCTATATAAATCACAGTTCTAGCCACAAGAAATGATTTTGAAGTCACTTTTCAGTGAAACAGGCTGTTGGTCTTCTGTCAGTAGGGAAGATTGCATCTTACCACTGATAACTGTGCTCTGATTCTGCTTATTCAAAGTACTGTCTGGTTTTGTGGAATGCAGTCACCTTTAAAAGAAAGGTGTGCATGGCATTTACAACATGAAAGGCAAAACTGCTTTTACCTTACTTCTGCATAACTTGACTGTACTGGAAGACTTAGCAACACTAACTGCAGTAATAGCTTCATCCAAGATTTATTGGCAGCACTCCAGTTGTGCATTAGTATGAGAAAGCCATTCTTTCAAACACAGCAAAGAAAGTATGCTGCTACCGTGCTCCTGCAGTGGATCAGAAAACATTTTTGGCTCAGAAATGGGTAAAATACTACCAGAATAGTTGTACTGAAAGCTTCCCCAGCAGCAGATTGGTACCTAGATGATAAGCAAAGGTAGAAGAATAGAAGGTTTTTCCTGGGTAAAATATTCAGGAGTAAGTGGAGAGTGTCTGAACTGTGTCTGTTACAGAGTGGATCATGGTATTAGAACTTACAAGACTACTGTAAGACACTGGAGAGTCTGAAGGGGAAAACAAAATATGCTATCACAGCTTGACCTCTGGTTTGGTTTTTTCCCTGTCTTGCTGATCCCTATGTGGTTAACATTATGTGTACAATATGGATAGAAACTTTGGCTTGTCTGAGCCTACCTAATACCTATAGTAGATGGTAGAATGTACATTTTCCCAAAGGACTCTGAAATCTGTGTTCAGCTGCAACACTGAAAATCAAATAGTAGATTCCTGTTGTGACAGTGTGAAGGTTTAAAATTCAACACAGTATGAAGGTAAAATACAGTTTAAATTCTTGGTCTAAAAAGCCCTGTAGCTTCTTCAAATTGTTCTGCAAGTCCTCATTTTCAGTTTACTACAAATGGATCATCTAGCAAAAAGGTTTTATAGTGACACATGCATCCCATTTACAGTAAGATGACTTGTGTTTTCATTTTAAATATTCAACATATCCTTACATAGGTGAATTCTGTACTCATTTCTGCTTGTTACATCTGATTGATGAATATACTGTATCTACTTTTGTCATTGTTTTGCTTCTCAGGATCAGATCTTTATGGAGAATGTTGGTGCTGTAAAGCAGCTTTGTAAACTAACGAACAATCTTGAAGTCAGAATAGAAGAATTGGAACAGTGGAACAGGAAACTGGCCAGGCTGAAGCGGATGAGCAGTTTAAAGTCAACAGTCAGTGAAGAAAGTAAAGTCAGGTACCTCTGTCTAGGATGTTCTCTGATAGTTGTCACACAAATTGATAAAGTGATCTCTGTGATAGAAGTAAAAAACAGTTTTGCTTGGCAGTGGAGTTCACCTTATTTCCAGCATATAAGTTGTGAAACCCTCCCCAATTTCTCATATTTTTTTAACTCACTGACAAATTTAATATTTGAAATGGCTGTTAAATTGCCATTTTTGTAATTGCTTCAATTGCATGAAGCAAGGGGAGATTATGTCCAGTTACAGCTGTTGCTTCTAAGATGAATCTGCAGAGCTTCTTCTGCAAAAAAGAATCTTCATTAGTGCTTCAGTGAAAGTAATGAGTGTTTCCGGTTTCTGAGTAAGCTTTCTTTGAAATCAAATGTTGCATTTAATAGCATTCACCTGAATGTGCTAACTGCAGGCCTTTGTTCTTGAAAATTAATCTAATGATTATTCTGCCTTTCTCTTTGTAAATGTTGGAACTGCAAAAGCAAGTGACATTAACACCCTATTGAAAATGTCATCTTTTCATTTATTAGTTGCTGAAGCATTTGAATCTCATCTCTTACAGCAGGTATAGTCGAACTACTAGTCTTCTGCCATCCATAAAATCAGTCCCACTAAAATCCAGCAAGGTAAGTGAAATTAAATATATGAAATATGTCTGTGAGAGAGTTTTTAAATGCTGAAATATTGGTGAAAGTTTTCATATTTTTAAACATAAAATCAAATTCCTTGGCCAGGATTATTTAGTGTCATGCTTGAAGAATGAACTGAGGCAAATTATATATGAGACACTTCTACTTGCCTATACATAGTCTGTGTTAGAGTAGATACATGCTCTGTAATGGTGTGAAAGAGGAGGGAGACCAAAAGGACAGATATGTTGAGCCTGTAAGTATGCTTACATGGTGTAGTGCAGCCTTAGGCAGAAATGCTTATTTTGGTTTGAAAGTTTGCAGTCATGCTGATCCTTACCCAGCTTCCATCTTTGCATGAGTCTTTCACTGTGGTTTGCAGTTAGCAGCTCCTGTTTTGTACTGGATAACGATGTCTTTCAGGTTGTTAAGACCTGACTAAGATGTCATTGCTATTGCTGAATGACTGCCTCTTGCCCATAGGATGGTATAGAAAGCAGACACCCCTATTTATAAGGATTGGATGAGTTAGAAAACATACATTGACCTTCTTCAAGACAGTCTTCCTAGCCTGCCAAGTCCTGTTCTTTACGATGAACCAATGTTCATTTGCCTATCTTGCTTTTGTCAGTGCCAAAGAGCAGAAGAAAACAACAGGTCAAATATTCTTTGTTCCATCATCTAAGATCACCCTACTTGTTTGGAAAGTGCCTTTCTTCTGTATTTACACCAGCCCTGGTTTAACATGGTCTGAGCACATACTGAAAGCTGCTGGCCGCTGCTTACGAGTTCTTCATTTGATTTTAACATGCCTCAAGAGTATGAAAAATGGCAGGAGGAAAGGACAAGGAATTGTTATTTTTAACTATCCTTTCTTCCTATGTTATGTTTGTGTCCCCAGACTATTAACAGTCTTAGGGAGCCTTTCAATACTGAAGCTTTTCTCTTTAAACTTTGGCCCCTATACAATGTTGAATTTTATGGTTCCTATGAAAGAAACAAGGGTGACTTAAAGTCAGACCTAGTGTAGTATTTCTTCATCTACTAGTAGTACCTTAGTGCCACTTAAATTAACCAACCTGTTTGTTTTCCTAGGTTTGTTTGTCAAAAACCAAAGAATCTTGCTCTGTGAAGATTTTCCGTGTGACTATAGTAGCTTTGATTGCTATTATGGCACTATGGTAACAATTAATTATCAACAAGTTGACTTGTGTCTCTCTTTTCCCTTTCTATTTATCTCATAAAAAAGAAGATAGCATATTTTAATCTTCCTTTTACCCTTGCTCCTCAAAGAACACAATGTATTCAAATTAACAGTCAGTACACCTGATAATATTGTAAACTTCCATGATGGTGAGATACTCATGTGATAAGACACACAACTAATCTCTGTCGATGTCACAATGCATGGTGCATCTTGAATGTGCCTCAGTGGTTTGTACCACATGTGCAAAGCTGGAGTCTGCATCTTTTATGCAATCATTTTGTTCCAAAGTACAATTTCTGATGTACAAAGTGATTCTGTTGTGTGAAATGAAGCTGAACTCATTCCCAATGTGGTGGGCAATTCTGTGACTCTGAAAGTTTATCTTGTGACATTGGACTTGTGTAAAGGAAAGTATATTCTGAATGTCTGAGGTTTGCCATTTTCTGTTTCCAGTTCAAAAACCTGTGGCTTACAATCTCATTGTGAACTGAGTACTTTGAACTGGTGCTGTGATTCTACTTATGTTGGAAACTGACCATATTTTGTGTTGAACACAAGTATAAGAATACAATACTGTATACAAGTAGCTGATCAAAACCCCATTAAAATGAGTCAAAACTTTTCCTACTAAAGGAAAAGTGATCAGATAGTTAACTCCTACATTACTACATTTGGACTAGGTGCTGTCAAGGTATTATTCATATTGTGTTACATAAAAGATGGATGTAAATCTACAGAATAATTCTCTTTCTACAGTGCTTTGACAATATGGAGCCTATATTTACTTAGTATTCATGACAGACGCTTTGAAAGACATCCGGTTTACAGGCAAGTAGTTAAATAAGCATTAGTGAATTATAATTAGTAAAATTACTAATAGATTGGGAACCAATCTGTTTTGGTCCTCAACTCTAATGCGTGCTTCTTAATGAATTATTTTTCTTCAGCAGCAGTACCTCAAGTTCTGTTCTACTCTCTCCCTCTACCACTACAGCAGGTACTGTGTCTCTATTGGTCTGCATAACATAAGAGGCTTTCAATTTCTGTGCTATTATAAAATGGCAATAGACACACAGCATTTGTGAGAATTGTCCTTTTTTTTTCGGTCTTTAGCACTGCAAAGTGAAAGCACGATTTCTCAGAGCACACAGCCCAACAGCAGGATCCCTGAAGTGAATTTCTGTGACCTTTTGCCTTGCGACAAGGTCTATTGTTGTCCAATTCATCAACCAAAAGTCAAATTTCTAAGTTATGAAAAAACCAATTCAAAGGAGAAACGTAAGTTGAAACATTAATTTCTATTATTTACCATTTGAGTAGAGACTGTATGGAGACTGTGGGGGAAGGGGCAAGAATCTTTAAAGGTAGTTAGCTCCCTACAAACCAGCCTAGTGCAGAGGATTTAAAAAAATTCTGATATAGCTATCCTCACTGGAGTCAATATGGTTATGAAAAATCTGACTTGGTTACTATTAAGAATTTTGGGTCCTAAGGCTTTTTGTGGGGTGTCACTGTTTTTCCTGGCCATTCATGGTAAATGATTTCATGTGAACTAGAAAGTCACTAATCCCTTTAATTAACCTTTGGCTACAGTTGGACAGGAGTTGATTGGGGGAAGTAGAGAGTGAATTAGCAGATGTAAAAACCCCTCACTTAATGGTGTCACAGTGTGGAGATACTACATCTTGCCTATAGGCAGAGTCAGACATCCAACTGCCAGAAAACACAAAATGTAACACTCTGATTGTTCAGACAGAGTGTTCGAGTAGTATTATGTGAAGACAGAGCTCTATAAAATAAAATACTTTTACTGGAATGAATTCTCTTTCGGATATTGTCTGCCAGATGTTATGTGTATAATGTGTGAGAAGGTGTATTGCTTACAACTTTTATAATATTTATAAGAAAGAGTTAACACATAAAGGTATGCACAAGTTGTTGGAATATGTATTCCTCTTTCCCATTCCTGAACATTGTCAATGTCTGTAAGCAAGTGTTAAATTACTAAACCGGCATTCGTACTCTTCCTTTCATGGCCTTGGGAACAATTCTTGCACCACAGTTGAGAAATGGAGGTGAAATTGGGGAATGGATGCAGTTCAGCCTCTGAAGTGCAAATGTCTGCCAGGGCAGACATTACCAATTGCCATGACACACATAGCACAAACTGTTTCAGTGGGATTCACCCACTCACCATTCTTTACACTGCAGACAAGCTGTATGTAAGTGATCCTGCTGATTCTTGTATCAGTGCTGCATTAGGCCCTGTGGCAGATATAGCTCAATATGGTGCTTTCAAGAGGTCATACCTAAGTGATTTGTATCAGTCTGAAGCCTGAAAGAGTGCTGATTAATTAAAAAGACATCTCATTTATAAATGAGGGATGAAATGAAATATGAAAACTTTCTATCCCCAGCTGGCTACTTTTGATATTAGGTGGAAAGAGAAGATAAGAATAAACACAAAGCATTACCTTCTCAAGGTTTCATGCTCCAAATAGCATTATGTGTTGATCCAAGAGTGAAAAATCAGCATAGTACACAAGCTACTGAAAGATTTCAGGTCTGAACAAGTTTAATGAAGCTGAATGTATCCCCAGATGGAAGGTAACAATGTCAATATGAAATTCAAACAGAAGGAAAAGCATCAGGCTGTTTAATGTAGCTGTAGCCAAGATAAATGAAATGGAAAATATTTTCAGAACAAAAAGCTAAGAGTTAAATATGGGGAATAATCAAGATAAACTGTGGATATTTTAGAATCAGATGATTAGTCTGATTCATGGAAAGGCAGAACTATTTGAAATTACAGTTGAATTAAATACTAATTTAAGAGTTCATATTGAACAGACCTTTTGCTGTTCCACAATGCAATACCTGAATTCTGCAGGTGTAGACTACTATCAAGAACATCCATTGTAGCTCCTAATTGCTTGTTGAGGAGAAGGCTGTTAGGAAAGTTCAGTTAGAAACAAAAGCATTCATAAGCAAGGCAAAAAATATTAAACAAAAATTCATCACATCTCTATGTAGTCTAGCTTAATGTGGCCTTTTTTTCCTCATACTTCATTTGTTTTAAGAACTGGTTTCTCTGAAGGATTTAGACTTTGGAACTTCCACTAATTTCAGTGGAACTGAGTAATGTGAATACCCTTCACCATCTGGGCCTTTTTTACTCTCTGCCTCCATGCCATTAGTACTCATTGGTCTCCCCTTAATGTTAAGTGTCACTGATAACCAGGGGCTGTCCTTACTTCCTCTTCAGTGTTGTTTCTTCCATCACAATAAAAGGTTGGCGAGGGCTCCTGCTGGATTTTGTCCACCTTATGCATTCCATTTATTGCCTTCAGATGGTAGTTAACAGATTCATAGTAAGGTACCACCTCCACAAGAAATCATCAGTGGTTTTCTTCTATACTGCCTATAGAATATTGCAGCTCATGTGAATTAAAACCAGAAAGTGCTTGGGGGAAAAATGGAAAGGATACCACATTTATTTGGATGAGTTTATCAGGAGCTTATCTGAAGAGAATTATTTCCTGTTTACATTCTGGTCATGTTCACACTTATATATTTGCTATTAACTAGATCTTCACACCCCACGTGGGCCTTTGAGAAAGCTCTCAGAGTTACTATATTGTGACAGAGTGGAAGTTTACCACAATTTCTTGAAGGCTGCTGTGGTGCTTTTTGGTGGTTCTTGGTGTTCTCAATTGGCACCTTGCACTCCAAATAAAAAGAACATTAGGCCTGGTTTTCTACATTTCATTTGGATTGCATCTGCTTAAAGGACAATGAAATGGTAATTTTATGCTGAGTAAAAACACAAGCAAAAATAAAGTTCTGTACTGGTTAGTGACTCAGCTGAAATCTTAGTGAAGTAAATCTGTCTTTATCCTGGTTTTTATACAAAATTCTGATACCTACTTAATGCTTTCTTCTATCATCTGCAAAAGAATCACAGTTTTACGTGTTTAGTAATTCAGAGTATTTAATAAATATTCCTGCCAACACTTGCATGGCTGAAGTATTTTATCTACAAGGAGAAATCTTTTACCTTTACTAGGGTATATAGGTTTTTCTACAGAATAGTTCTCTGTTAACGAAGATGCAAAATGCATTTAATGCCTTGCTAGCATATCTAGACTGTTAAGAGAAATCAGAAGAAAATGAAGGTGTGTCAACTAGATTGTACATAAAAAGGAAGAATGAGAGAAAGAACAGACTTTTTGTAGATCTGCCTCAAGACTGACTGTACATGTATAAGTGATTGCATGTGTTCAGTAACCATTTTCCTAGGTACATAAAACAGTATAATGAAATGGGACAGCAGATGACTACTAAATGCAGTTACCACCTAAGCTGGTGGAACTGGTAGATCTGTAGGATGAGCTAGTAAATAGAAAATGGATTGAAGGAACAACTGGCAGCAGTATAACAGATTCATAGAAAAACACAAACCTGAATAAATCCCAAAGATGATTTTGTATTTCATTACTTCTGGGCTCTTGGATTCTAGTTGTTAATGTTCTTGGTCATGTGCTAGCATGAGAAAAGTCTGGATTCTCTTATTTCCCAATACTGAAATGAAACCAAATTTGGAATGAATTAGAAAACAGTAAGGTCAATCCAGCTGTCTTGTTTCAATCTCAGTGTAATGATGCATTTTGATCCTTGCTTTTGTAAAATAAATTTTTATATAATGAAACAGTCATTTCTGTTCTAAACAGCCATTCTGAAGTTAGAATGTTTCCTTTGGAAAACACAAGAATGGGGTATTTTGGTATTCTAGAAATGGTATTTGATAAAGCATATTAGTTCAGGCAAGATCAACGTTTTCCAGTGCTAGCTTATTGGTAACATGTCTCTGAACAGATTCTTGGCTGGCAAATAGTATAAAAGCACAGGAATAGCATTAAACCATTTCCCATGGGCTCGAAGGGCCTTTTACCTTCCCCAGGTTGTGCTATGTGA